CTCTGAGCCTAAATACCTAGTGTGTGATACAGTCTGAATTTTTTGCCTCATTATCTCCAATTACTTAGGACTATTTCATGTATATATAGAATTACATTTAATACAGAACAGACTGAGGCAAATATCAGGTAAAAATGCTTTCTTTTGTAAGGCTACATTCTTGCTCATTTTAATAGACTTGTTACTCATAGGAAAAAGTGTGTGAAAGATATTTTTAAATGAAAATAATTATTTTCCCATTTGAACTTATTTTTGTAGAAATTCGGTAATTAATAAGAACATAGAAATTCATAGAACAGAAACCTTCCTTTTCAGGAACCTAGATGCCATTTTTATCTGTTATTGTTAAAACAGTATCAGGAAGACTTACTAAATGAAATTTCAAGGATTTTCTGGTATTTAGTTGACTTTTAGGGAGATAATACTTTTTGTGACAAATTGCTACATGTGCATGGTTTCAGTATTCAATCGTGATGCTTTTTAGCTGATGATTGGGCATAAAACATAAGTTTCATAGAGAGATATTGATCTTACTGGAAGAACATAGGATAAGGAGAGTCTTAAAGCGTGCTTTTTTAGAACTACTACTTTTTCTCTTATTGAAAATTGAATTTGTAAAATGCAGTGATTTAATGCTGTTTGAATTTGCTTTTTAAAAATAAAGGTTTAATGCACGAAAATTTACTCCTGAGGTTGTAGGCCAAGCATTCCAAAGTTGCTAAAAATGAAAGTGTTAGTTGCTTGTGTGGTCTTACTCCATTATCCATATGCACAAGTTTTATGATTATTTCATTATATTGTACTGTGTGTCTTACAGTGCGGCAATCAATACTGTATCTACTCTGGTGAAAGCTTGATTGTAAAGCCACTGCCTCACTTTTTACAGCAATTAGAAAGCATGCAGGAAAAGAAACATGACTCTGTGGTTAAGCCAGTCAGGGATTTTCCTGGGACTACTCAGTTGTATTCTTGTCTGTGCCAAAGATTGCATGAATTCAAGACAAATAGTTTATGAGCAGTCACTTGGTGAGGTGCTTGGTTTAGGCTGTTTAAGGGACATACCAGGTCACACTTGCTGCAACAGAGATAAGTGGGGACTGCTTTGGACATGAAGTTCTGCAATGGTCTAACTATTCTGAAGAAGAAGAATCAGTTCTGCACAGGGATGCTGGGTAAGCTTATTTGTGAATACTGTTTAAGATCTATCCACTATTGGAAATAGGACACAGAGATTTTCATAAGCCTCTATTTCACATGCATGCTGTAAAACTAAGATAATATGTGTAAAATACTTAGGTGTTTAATGGTGAGGGGGGGGAAGGAAAAAAGGAATAAATGTTTAGAAGGGGGTGATTGGTCTGATGTATAAGTAAAGATAAAGGAAAATGAAGGAATCTGTTTAAACTGATAGCCCATGGAGTAATGAGAGCTTGAAAATCTAAGGATCTCTTCTAAGACTTCTCTGCTGTGCTTTTTATTTATATCAGCAGTGAAAGGTATTTTATTTGCCTGCTGAAGCTGAAGTAATAGACTTCTTCATTTCAGCAGGTCACTACGAGTGATCAGTTTATACCAGGCTTGCTGTAAATTACAGTCTGATTTTACAAATTGGACAGCTTTAATATTTGAGCAGTAGAAATCATAGCCTTTAAAGGATTTAAGCTGTTCTTTTTGGTTATTATAATTTAGTGTTCTGATGTGAGAGTCTTCGTTTTATGCTTATTTTAAAGTTACCCCAAGACACCTAGTGAAACAGTTTCCATTAAAGCTTACTTGAACCTTAAAAGGCATTATACACTAGAAATAATAAAAACCCAACATTGCTTCTACTTTCATTCTTCATAACTTTCACAAGTTATAGCCTATGTAACTGATTTTTATTCATTTAAATAATTTCAAAGAAAACTGAAAATACAACAAGAGGCAGTATGAAATGTGAGGATTTTTTAAAATAATAATTATTTGCCTCTTCAGATAACATTCTTGTACACAAAATAAAACAGACCATTTTTAACAGGGCACCACATACATATCTTTATAGCATAAATCTCCTAGATTTATCGTAATTAGGTAGTGGACATGAGGTTATTGAGTCAATACCTGTCTCAAACTGCACTAATAAAAATAATTACTTTCTAAAAAGAGATTTCATGATTTATAAGCATAAATTTGGAAGACTCCATACTTTCTTCAGTAGGAGTGGAAGACTAACGATGTTGAATAATTGCTTTCTTTAAGTTCCAAACTACAAGTTTTTGTGCAAAGGCCTACGAATTTTCTTTATTTTTCTGCTGTGAAAACATTCCTTTATTTTTGTTATTTTATGTGGCTATTCTAAGAAGAGATTATATCTTGCACAAGGCTGTCTGTAGATTCTTTCGGTTTGACTCAGATTAAAACCTCAATTGCTAATCTTATCAAGTAGATTGTTCCTTCTGGAAATTATGCCTTCCGACCTTGTCTGCATCACAGCAGCCAACCTTTCTGCCAGAGGCTTAGCATAGTGGTGAGGTTTGAATTAGACGTAAAGTGAAAGTATGATTTCACAATAGCAGGGATCTCTCTCATGCCCATGTGAATACTGCATGCAGCTGTTGTCATTATCCTGTTTTATGGAAAAATGAGTAGTTATTTCCAGGGCTATCAATCCAACCTTCATCCCAAGTATCAAATGTGCTTTGGTGAGATCTTCAATCCATTTGTGTAGCTGCTTTAATGCTCAGCAGCTACTCTACCTAACTTAAACTAGATGTCTCGGCATCTATATTTATGTGAAACAGTTGTTCCACACTCTGCTGATGGCTAAATTTAATAATAGTTCCTTTTTTCATCATGTGTGTGATATAAGCCTTATTTGCAATAGTTATCTCTAGAATGAAGGAGAGGTCATATACATACTAGAGATGTAGATGTCTAAAACTGGCTCAGTTTTCCAAAGTTTGTAACAAAATACATTGCTTTTAAAGACTGTGCTCTAAGCAACACGTTTTAAAAGGAATATGTTTTAGCATACAGTGGAATTGTTTTCTTAAAACTGCAGAGGAATTGCGCATGTGAGGGCTAAGAAAATTGGAAAGCAGAAGAATTGAATGCTAAGGTAGCATGGAGACTTCAGGCTTTCTACTGTGCCAAGCAACAAATTGTCAGAGAACACGTCAAGCAAAACTTAGCAGAAAGTGTGTGAAGATGATGAGTGTGCTTTCATTTTTGTAACTCATGAATATTTAGTTAGCGGCTTTCCAAAGATGTGCAGAAGAATAAAAAAAGAAAAAAATCAGTTAATATAAAAGCCATGGTCTAAGTCAATGGCAGTGACAGTGTTTAGATGTTCAGTTTGACTTCAAAGGATGTGGGCTTGATATTTTTAAAGACTTAGAGAGGCTTTTCTTTGGCTGTAATAGTAAATTACGCTAATAACCATTACTTCTGATATTTAAACATTTTATTTGGTTTCCATTTCAGGACAAAAGTTCAGGTGTAACTAAAATTCATGCTGGGGTAGTTCAGCATTCTTATGAAATGCACAGTTCTTCTAGGAGTGTGGATGTTGGCGAAAGACAGAGGAAAGCAAGAAGATTAAATATGAGACTTGTATTTTATTTCCCTGTAATTTTTCCATTTTAAGAGCTTAATATTACACATCAAAGGAAGAAGTTTTTGAAGATTCATTCTCTCTCTTTGAGGAAGAAAATTATTGTAAGTATATTTCTTTGTTTTCACATCTAGATCTTCTGAAGCAGAGGTACTGTGAATTACTAAACTTGTTAAAAGTTTAATTTGTCACTGCTCTGATCGGCCTCTCTTAATCCCCACCCAGATGGGATGACTTGAGCATTGAGATTTTGCCCCCCACCCTCCAAGTCCTTCGGTTTAAAGCCTTTCACACCAGGTAGGCCAGCCTGCTGCCAAAGATCCCCTTGCCTTTTCTTTACAGGTGGGTCCCATCCCTCTCTAATAGGTTATAATCATTGAAGAAAGTCCCATTGTCATAAAAGCCAAAACCCTCACAGTGGCACCAGCCACAAAGCCAGGAGCTGACACCCATAATGTGTCTGTTTCTAGCTGATCCCCTTCCTCCAGCTGGTAAAATGGAGGGAAAGATAAGTTGGGCACCAATGCTTATTGCTTTCACCCCCAGGGCTTTGAAGTCTTCCTTAATTTTGCCAACGTTCTGACTTGCAGTGTCATTTGTGCCTACATGAAAGAGTAACAGTGGATAGTAGTCTATGCTCTTTACAAGTCGTGGCACCCTCTCGGCCATATCCCGGACCTTAGCTCTCAGAAGGCAGCACAGCTTGCTTGCCTCCCTGTCAGGGCGGCAGATGGGCTCCTCAGTGTCCCTAAACAGGGAGTCACCCACCACGAGTACCCATCGTTTGTTTTTATGGTACCCGCTGTGTGTTGCTGGCGTAGTTTCCTCTTGCAGACCTTGCTCCTGGGTGTGCATGGTTGTTAAAGCTTCGTGTTTGTTTTTGGTAGTTATGCTGGAGGGTGGAGGCTGGAGCGGAGACCTGCTTCTGCTGGTCACCAACGTCCAAGGTGCCTCATTCTCAGTGCTGTTCTCCACAGGAGCATGGTTCTGCAACCATGTATCTATCTCCAATTCAGCTCCTCTGATACTGCGTAGCCTGTTAACTGTTTGCTGCAGCTGAGCCACCTGCTGTATCAGATCCTCAACCTGCCCACAACTTGTGCAGGCACTTACCAGTGCTCCAGAAGAAGGGTCTGGGCACTCGCTGCAACCTGCCACCTGTACTGAAGAGCGCTTTGTTACCAGTTCCATCTGGGTGGAGGCATCAGTCATCACAGGGATGCCCACTGTACCTTGGGTTTTAGCTCTGAGGGGAGTGCCCACCATTATGGCAGAGACCTAGAGCATTCCCTGGGTTGTGGCCTACAGGCGGGTTGCAGGGCCCTCCCTGTGCGAACTGCTGCGCAAACTGCTGCACCATGCCCTGTTTTCCCGCTCTGTTCGCTGCGCTCCAGGTCACTCGCGCTCCCTAAGGGCCGTTTAAATCTTCCATGGTTGCTGCCGGCAGTACCCATGCCAAGGCCAGACCCACTTGCTCGTGAGAGCTGCCAGCTCCTGGCAGGTCTGGCTGCTCTTCCCTCGGGTTTCCCTGGCTCCGGGAACCCCCCTGTGTGCCTCGGTCAAGCGCCCTGCTGCAGATCTTACCATCACTGCCGCTGCCTTTCTCGCCAAGTGAGTGAGGTCTTTGCACAATTTAATTGATTTTAACACCCATTCAGCTATGCAATAGTTTTTTTTCACTCCAATCACTTCAAGTGAGGAAATATTTCAGTCAGCCTAGTCTCAGGCACGGTCTACAGAACATCCCTCCGCGCTTGGCCATGTGTGCGTTCTTTGCTGTTGATGCTGTATGTCTGCACCATGTTTGTATCTGTGTGCTGCGCTACAGCTGAGGACATAGCCCCAGGGCCAGACTGCTGCTTTGGGGAGGTGTCAGAGCAGGTTGTGCATGAAAACAGTGGATCTCCTCAGTTAGAAAACTTCCTGCCAGTTAGAACTGGCAACTATATGCAGCCCTTTGCATGACCAAAGCATGGCTGCATGTCAACAGTTTTCAGAGGATATTTGTTGCTCTGTTTGAACTTCTACTTTCATAATACTGTAACAAGACTTCCAGGAAAGGTTTTGGGGCAGTACTTTACCTTTGCACTCTAACACAGATTTCCTCATAGTAATATCCAGCTACAGTCATGAGTATACTTCATCATAATGCTTTAGAGTAGCCTGTGATCAGATTGAAGTTTTTATCCAAATGTGAATTGTTGGTATTGTTCATTTCAAAAAGCAAGGATTTTTTCTTAGCTTCTACATCTTTCAAGATTCCTGTGGGCAAATGCCAGAAGTTTTGCTTCAATGCCATATTCAAGGCTGCAACTGAGATACAACACTTTATCTGCCATGTTTGCCCAGAATAACTTCATTATGTTTTAGCAAGCCTGTCCTTGGTCCTGACTCTGGCCATTTCCCCACATGTTCCACTTTCTACTGTGAGCTAATTACATCCTCTATATGTAATCAGGCCTTTAACTCACAAATTTGCAGTGTTGTTAAAGCCACATGTAAGTGCCAGTTTCCTCTACAGTGAGGAATAACATCTATTCCCTTTTCTTTTTTCTTTCCTTCCCTCCCCTGCCGCCAGTTATAACAACTAGATTGAGTCTGAGTACACCCACTTATAAGCTCTTATATAAGCAGCTGGCAGAAATCTCACAATTTCTAGCCCTTGTTCTCACTGGGGACTTCAACTTAACAGAAGTCTGCTGGAAATACAATACAGTGAAGAGGAAACAGTCTAGGATGTTCCTGTAGTGTGTGGAAGATTACTTCCTGACACTGTGCGTGAGCCAGCTAGGCCCCACTGGACCTGTTGTTTGTGAACAGAGAAGCACTTATGGGTGATCTGATGGTTGGAGGCTTTCTTGGGCATACTGATCGTGAAATGATAGCTTTCGATTCTCAGAAAAGTAAGAAGGGGGGTCAGCAAAACTGCTACCTTGGACTCCTGGAGGGCAGACTTTGGTCAGTTTAGGAGCCTGGCTGAGAGAGTCCCTTGGATGTAGTCCTGAAAGTCAAAGGAGTCCAGGAAGGCTGGACATTCTGCAATAAGGAAATCTTTAAGGCACAGGAGCAGGCAGTCCCCATGTGCTGAAAGACGAACCAGCAGGGAAGAAGACTGGCCTGGCTAAACAGAGATTTGGCTCGAACTCAGGGGGAAAAAAAAGAGAGTTTATGACCTTTGGAAGAAGGTGCAAGTAACTGAGGATGACTACAAGGATATCATTAGGTTATGCAGGGCGAAAATTAGAAGGGCCAAAGCCCAGCTAGAGCTTAATCTTACTACTGCCATAAAAGACAATAAAAAATGTTTCTATAAACAGGTTAGCAACAAAAAGAGGGCTAAGGATAATCTCCATCCTTTATTGGATGCAGGGAAAAACATAGTGACTAAGGATGACGGAAAGGCTGACGTAATCAATGCCTTCTTTGCCTCAGTCTTTAATAGTGAGACCAGTTGTTCTTGGGGTACCCAGACACCTGAGCTGTAAGACAGGGCCAGGGAGCAGAATGAAGCCCCTGTAATCTAAGGAGAAATGGTTAGTGACCTGCTATACCACTGAGACATATACAAGTCTATGGGTCCAGATGGGATCCACCCAGGGGTACTGAGGAAGCTGGTGGAAGTGCTCACCAAGCCACTTCAAATCTCTTGTCAGCAGTCCTGGCTAGCAGAAGAGGTCCCAGTTAACTGGAGGTTAGCAAATGCAACGTCCATCTACAAAAATGGCCAGAGGAAGGATCCGTGGAACTACAGGCCTGTCAGTCTGATCTCGATGTAGAGGAAGATTCTGGAGTGGTTCATCTTGAGTGCCATCATATGGCCCGTACAGGACCACCAGGTGATCAGGCTCAGTCAGCAGGGGTTCCTGCTAGACCAGCCTGATCTTCTTTTATGACAAGATGACCTGCTTAGTAGATGAGGGGAAGTCTGTGGATGTTGTCTACCTAGACTTTAGTAAAGCCTTTGACACTGTTCCCCACAGTATTGTCCTGGAGAAAACGGCTGCTTAAGGCTTGGATGGGTGTACTCTTCACCGGGTAAAAAATGCACTGGATGGTTGGGCCCAAAGAGCTGTGGGGAATGGAATGAAATCCAGTTGGTGGCTAGTCACAAGTGGCGTTCCGCGTTCCCAGGGCTCAGTATGGGATCAGTTCTGTTTAATATCTTTATCAATGATCTGGATGAGGGGATGGAGTGCACCCTCAGAAAGTTTGCAGACGACAACAAGTTGGGTGGGACTGTTCATCTGCTTGAGGGTAGGAAGGTTCTACAGAGGGATCTGAACAAGCTGGATCAAAGGGCTGGGGGAGATTCAACAAGACAAAGTGCTGGGTCCTGCACTTGGGTCACAACAACCCCATGCAATGCTACAGGCATGGAGAGGAGTGGCTGGAAAGCTGCCTGGCAGGAAAATACCCAGTGGTGTTGGTTGACAGCCAGATGAATATGAGCTGGCTGTGTGCCCAGGTGACGAAGAAGGCCAATAGCAGCATCCTGGCTTGTATCAGGAATAGCGTGGCCAGCAGCAGTATGGAAGTGATTGTTCCCCTGTACTTAGCACTGGTGAGGTCACACCCCAAGTACTGTGTTCAGTATTGGGCCCCTCAGTACAAGAAGGACATTGAGGTTCTGGAGCATGTCCAGAGAAGGGCAACAAAGCTGGTGAAGGGTCTAGAGAATAACTCTTATGAGAAGCAGCTGAGGGAACTGGGACTTTTTAGTCTGGAGATCTTAAAGGTCTTTTCCAACCTAAATGATTCTGTGAAGATATTGGCATATGTTCAAACTCAGGTGTGCTTTCCTAGGCTTGTGTAATCTCTTGTTTTGCAGACAGACTGGATTGAAACAAGACCAACTCATTAAAAGTCTGGATGTTCTATTTTTTAGAGAGCAATACAGAGGTATTCTCACCGTAAGAGTGTAGTTTGTCACATTTGCCATCACTAGGACTCCACATCAGAGGGAGGGATTATATATAAATAAATGCTTATTGCTGTAGAGTGTTCTGGGTAGAAATGGAGTTTTAAAGTGATCACTTCTCAGTATTTTGGAAAGAGTTGTATGAAGGCACCTGGTAAAGCCTAGAGGTGTTTGTGGTAGAGAAGACTACACATAACATCTGCTGTGTCAAGGATAAAAACGAATATATGCTGCACCTGACATCTCTAGGAAATTAATAATGTACATGAGTGAAAACAATGAACCAGAAGGCTAGTTTGAAAAGCAATCAGTGTATCATTATAAGCAGGAAATTTAACTTCATCAATATATTTACACCTTTAGGATATACTATGAAGCAGATTTTTAGACTTAAAGTGCCAGATTTTGTGTTTTGTGGCCATTTGTATACTACAGCTTCCTAAAATACCTCTCAAAGACTGGCAGTTTATTCTCACATTTTGTGATGTATCTTCACTTCAAGGGATTTTCTTAACACTGAAAAGCTTAAGCAGTTTATTCTTTCTTGCTAAATTAAATTTTCCTTTGCAGTGTCCACTTCAGCTGAAGAAACCAATTTTATTGTCTCAATTATTTCTGAGAAAAACCAGCCAGTGCACTCTAGTGGTTCTTCAGCACTTCAGTGAGTCTTTTGCAGTTTTAGAAGAAAAGATAAAACCTGTGTCTGCACATTCCTCTCCAATGGAGCTGTGTCCTGAACCCTCACATTTCTTACACTGAAGAAGTCCACACCACACCTTTCCTCCTCTCAGTATGGGATCAGTTCTGTTTAATATCTTTATATATACCACTGCGTCTCTCTCTCCAGGTACCCCAAGTGCTGAAGGCAGCCTAGTAGTGGGTCTTTGACCTTGCACCACATCTGAGGGAAGTTTGGTCTGAGAATATGAAAGAAACACAAGCAAAATATCTGGTATAAAAATCATCTTTAGCACGAGAGCTAACACTCTTTGAATTTGATTTAAGTCAGAATGACAAAAAAATGGAGCACATTAATTTTTCTCACCCTCTCAAAGACCCTTTCCTGGGGTCATCAAGTCACATCTTTAGTTCCATCCCACCAGATTTCTCAGTGTAATAATGGTTACACTGTATGGCCTCCTTCAGAAGGAATCTCTGGCCTTCTTGAACAATTGTTAGGCAAGCTTATTTCCAAATCAATAAGCAGCCTGACTTCTTACAACCCCTTATAAGCCACTTTCTGAACTAGGGCCCCATGGCATATCACAGCCTGATTGTTCCAACCACTTAACAAAAATGCTCTTCTGTTTAGTTTTCAGAGGGAGAAGCTAGCATTCAGTCAGTTATCCTAAAAATGCTCTTAGTTATTAAGCAACACTTCTTATCCCACTCCACTATTAATTTGCCTAGAAATGTAGTCTTGTTAGGTATAGATGTTATTAACACAGGAATTGGTTTAGTCAAGCTCAGTTTGATATTCAAAATTTCACTTGGAAAACTGTGTACAATCAAACTTCTACTTGTTTTTAGACAGAGAGTGAAGTTAGTCACAGCACTAGTTCTGGTCTTCAACATATGGATGGATATCTTGCCAAGGAAGATCGTAAATTTTTGGCATTTCACCATCTTTCAAATATGATGGCATTGTTTTGAACGTCCTCAAGGAGACAAATTTTTGCCATTGTGGAATGCATGTACTAACTTTACTGTTCTGAGATATTTGTTAAATTTTTTTATACCAAGGTTAGCTATGTTCTACCATTACTGGTATATTTCTACTATGCTAATATATGTCTGCTTTCTTTAGCAGGGATTAAGTCTAAATTCCAGAAATTATATTTGCTATGAACTTCCCAGTTCATATAGTTATACACATATATGTACATGTATTACCCCTGTGGGTCATCATAGCTAGAGTGCAAAGGTGCAGTAAGTTATGCAGTTTTCCATAAAATCTGGTAGCTAGAATGACTGCAGTAAATATCTGATTTTGTGAGTATGTCTCATACCTTAATAAAATATAAAAAGTATTTATGTCACAGTTTTGAGCCTCTGGTCAGCACTCAAAGAACTGCTAAGAAGAAAGAATTTTTTTAGGGCCGATCCTGAATCCATCTATATTCTTAAACAAAGTCTACAAAAGAACATTATATGTTCTTTCTATTTCAGGTTGGCTCTTCACGTTTTTCCTTACTTATTCTTATAAACAAAGTCTATTATGCAAGAAATACTGCATAGAAAACATCTTTCATTTTGCCCGCTAAAATTAGAGGGCTTTGGGGCAAAATGTGGAATGTAGTGAAGAGAGATGCATTTCTACCTAAGGCTGAAAAGACAGTGTTTTTTTCCCTTAGCAAACACAGAACTATCTTGCTCAGTTAATCTTCCTGCAAATCAATTTCTGACCTTTTTGGTCAGAAAAACAATAACTATGTTGCGGGGTTAAATTGTCTTTTTGATACAAAGCATTCTTGAGAAGAAAGGACCCCTTGAGATTCAGGAGATTTCAAAATCTACTTTGTGTACTTTGAGAGCTCATTCCTGAGTATAAGAAAACATATTTGACATGGGGGTGCATTTGCATCTGGGGTGCATTTAGAGAAGTGTCTCTACTCTGCCCTGGTGAGGCCCCATCTGGAGTACTGCATCCAGTTCCCGGCTCTCCAATTCAAGAAAGATGAGGAACTGCTAGAGAGAGTCCAGCGGAGGGCTACAAAGGTGATTAGGGGGCTGGAGTATCTCTCCTACGAGGAAAGGCTGAGGCAGCTGGGCTTGTTCAGCCCAAAGAAGAGAAGACTGAGAAGGGATCTTACAAATGCTTATCTATATCTTAAGGATGGGTGTCAAGAGTATGGGGCCAGACTCTGCTCAGTGGTGCCCAGTGAGAGAACAATGGACAACAGGCACAAATTGAAGCATAGGAAGCTCCATCTGAACATGAAGAAGAACTTCCTCACTTTGAGGGTGACAGAACACTGGAATAGGTTGCCTAGAGGGGCTGTGGATTCTCCTTCTCTGGAGACACAGTCTGGATGCGGTCCTGTGCAATCAGTTCTAGGTGACCCTGGTTTGGCAGGCGGGGTGGGCTAGACGATCTTCAGAGGTCCCTTTCAACCCCTACCATTCTCTGTTTCTGTGATATCAGTAAAGACAGAAATCTCTGCTGAAGTAGGTAGCAAAATCTTTTAAATATTGTATCATTGAAGTTGCATCACAGAATAAGGAGGTTAAAAAACAGGTAGTGATAATCAATTTAATTTTTTAAACTTTTAGTTGTAACTGTAGTTTCAATTTCTTTGTATTTAAAATATATAGGCCTACACAAGTGGAAATGATGTAGAGCTTTAATTTATTTTTTTAAGGAACTGAAAATGGACTTTTTATGTTATCGAATACTAACCAGGGAAGAATTTTAAGGAGCTACGCATTAAATTCAAATAAGCAAGATATTAAATTAAGCAGTGTTTAAGACTTCAAAAGCATTTTAGGAAAACAATTTCATTGTCCATCCTCCTTTGACACAAGAATTGTCATGTGAGAATGTTACACCTATTTAGATATTTCCATGTTCAATACCTTAATTTTAATTTTTGTTTTCATTTTGTTAAACTGCAGAAGTTCTATAAAACTGCATCAGTACTGGTATTTGTAAACTCGGTTGTAGTATTGCCAATTTTAGTGTCTCAATCTGATTTTAAAATCGCATTTAGGAGTTCTAAATAACGTATCAAGAGTAGATCATATTATGAAATTATCACAAATCACCAAATATTTTCATTATTCCATTACTTATCTTTAAAAATCTAAGAGTCATGCAAAAGATTCTGGATATTCATATGTTTATAAATGGCTATTTTCTGTCATGACTTACTCCATTGATAGTAAATAGCTGACAAGTGTTTCTTTATGGATTGCAGTTGACTAAGAAAACAGTGCTATGTAGTCAGCACAGACCTACTACATGATTAATAATACATAGATAGAGGTTCTCCTGCAACAGTACATTCTGGGCAGTCCATCTTTGACTATGTCTGGTTTAAAGCATTGCAAAGCTGTAGTGATACACCTGGCACGACGTTTCAGCATGTAAATGAATTCTGTCTGGGGGAAACTCTTAAATGTAAGACACATCAGCAAAGACTACTGTACCAGCATTTGATTTCAGAATGCTTCACATATGTAGGTACTACAGTGTGTGCTCATGCAGACATAGAAGTTGCCAAGAAGGTGCAGGCTGTGAAGCTTTTCACAGAGTACAGTGCAGAACACAGGAAGCAAGTAGCTTTTGAAACTGTGCCATCCTGTTACAGATACTTCTTATTTAAATATTCAGTATAAAATTTTTCTAATGTTTTGTAAGTGTTGATTGAATTTAAGGGCTGGATATATATATTGGACATTATGGAGACTATTTTTATGAGATTTTCTTAGTTGAGAAACTAAAGGTGTAGCAAAGGGAAAAATACCATTTTGTAACACTCAATACAAACAAAAGTTCTAACCTAAGTTTAAGAGAAAACAAAACAAAGTCCTCAGATCCTGAGCTCTTGTTATTTGTTAAGATTTTCTTGAGGTTTGTTGGTAAACAGTAAATACCATTCCAGTTGGAACTCCCTGAATCTCATGGTATGTTCCTTATGGAACAGAGGTCAAGTATTGTAATTTTACAGTTCCTCAGACACGTCGGACTAAAAAATGAGACACATTTATCCCTTCTTAGTTATCTGAAGGTGCTCAATTTTCTGTTAAAAAATGTTATGCAAATAGAAAATACCTAGAAGTAAAGCAGAGGTGGGGATCAGAGTAGATAAATATTGCTCTGGATTTACACATAAACGGACAAAGGAAGCACATGACAGATTTGCTTATCCTAAAATTACATTTCTACAAGCCTTATACTTAGAGGTTAAAGCCTAAATGATTGAAGACTGTTAGATTCCTGATTCCTTTTAGGTGCTTATTCCTTCCTGCAATCAGTATGTCTGATGCAGGCAGATGTGGGCTCACTCTGCCTGTACTGCGAGCTACTTAGTAGAGTAACTGTGCTAGGGTAGCAGAGAGCCCAAGTTCATATATTCTTCCTACACAGCTTTGGGTTCAGTTCAGTTCAGAGCTGATTCAAATTCAGTTAAGTACAGGCAAAGGGAGTCTGCACTTTTCTCCAAAATAATGTTGATGTGTCCTGTAGCAAGCACGGAACAACCTCTGAGAAGTGGTTTGCAAATTACCATGTGTGAACCATTAGCACAGAATTTACTTCAAAGCAGTCAGTGCATATTTCCTGAGCAATAAAAATCCTCTTGCATAGTACCTAGCCCATAGCTAGAAGGAACTGCTGCTGTTGCCGCTAGTATGGTAATCCTTACCTCTGAGGGTGTGGGAGTCTTCTCAGCAGTCGTTTTGAGCTGCACGTGGTACCTTTCTTCTGAAGACATGCCATGTGTTCGAGGTAGTGATGTCTATTAACGTAACAGAAAATTAAGGTTTTGAAACAAACTTCTAAGCCTTTATGCCAGTTCAGTTAGTGACAGATTTTGTGATTTGCTGCTATTTTGAAGTGAATGCCCAGAAGATGACAAATAAGATGATACAAAGATGATGTATAATTCTGCATTAAGTTGTGTTAAGTTGCATTGTTATTATTTAGAGATGATAAATGCTTGATTTGAGATAGAACTGGGTTAATCACAATAGAATTTTATGAAAGAAAATAGAAAACTCAAAAATTTTTTTCTCCTCATAATTAATTTAATAGCTATTAGAAGCAGGAAAAGCTAAGCTAAACTAAAACTGAACTGCTTTGCATACCATGAGCCAGTATGAATTTCAAAGGTAGTCTTAACCATGAGTTCTCTAATTTGGCTTAAATGTAACTTGAGATCGCTTTCCATGTAAATTAAACATGCTTCTGCTGTCTTTCCCACACTATCATGTAATTTCAAGTGAGATGTTACTATGAACAGAATGGAGGGAAAAAAATTATGTAATTAAGCTTTATCTGAAAAAATAAGTTTCTGAGAATTCGGCTTACAAAACCAATTGTTGTGGATGGCATGGTATACCTGCTGACTTCACTATTAACTTACGTCCTATTAGTTTGTTCGTATAGGACTAACTGCATTTTTTTTGACCCTATGTCTAATTTATTCTTTTCTAGTTACTAACTCAATAGTTAAGCAGTTTTAAGTTTTATTTCTATTGCACAAACTCATCATAAAACCCAAAATGCTTTATCTATACTTACCACCCCAGGAGCAGTATGGAAGTGATTGTTCCCCTGTACTCAGCACTGCTGAGGCCGCACATCGAATATTGAGTCTGGTTTTGGGCCCCTCACTACAAGTAAGATGTTGAGGGGCCGGATTGCATCCCAAGAAGAGCAACAAGGCTGGTGAAAGGTCTAGAGCACAAGTCTTACAGGGGGCACCTGAGGGAACTGGGATTGTTTAGTCTGGAGAAAAGGAAGCTCAGAGGAGACCTTATGGCTCTCTGCAACTACCTGAAAGGAGGTTGTAGCGAGATGGGTGTCGGTCTCTTTACCCAAGTAACAAGTGATAGAATGAGAGGAAATCGCCTTATTTTGTGCCAGGGGAGGTTTAGATTGGATATTAGGAAACATTTCTCCACTGAAAGTGTTGCCAGGCATTGGAACAGGCTGCCCAGGGAAGTGGTTGAGTCAGCATTCCTGGAGGTATTTAAAAGACGTGTAGAAGTGGTGCTTAGGGACACAGTTTAGTGGTGGACTTGGCAATGTTAGGTTTGCCGTTGGACTCAATGATCTTAAAGGTCTTTTCCAACCTAAATCATTCTATGATTCTAACAGTATTCTAACAAATCTCTGCTCCTTTATTTCCACTGTAAAACCGGCAAAATGAAAAAAAAAAAAGAATGTTCTTAGCCATATATAAAACTTTATTCAGACATTAGTTTTATACATAGAAAATTCTATATGTATGGATTTGGTCTCAGATAAATGCTATAATACCTTACAGTTGCTATGGTAACTAGAGAGCAGCTGAGGCTTATTTTCTCTATATTTAGAAAAAAAAAAAAAACTAAAATACCTAAACCTCAATACTGCTGAGAAAATCTTATCTATAAAGGAGAGAAATACAACAATTCATCATTCTGAGGCATGTCTATATAGGGGCACGTCTAAGGAAACCTACAGACCTGACTGACAGCCAGCGTAAGTGGTATAGCCCACAGTCATGACAGGGCACATGAATTCAGGTGTAGCTCCAGGCTAACTTGGGCTTCTAACTTACAGCCAGTTTGGCAAATATGTCCAAGGCAAAGGCTAATTATGCTTATTTCTATGTACACCTACCCATACAAAATGCTTCAATGTTTCATCTGGACTTCTAAATTGCAAAATGTTTGGTCCCCTAGATTATGAAGGCAGTGCAGATATATCAGATACAACCTTTCTTCATCACCATTTGCTGTAGACACTGCTGCACAGCGCACAGTGAAAGGTTTACAGGTCTCTATAGCTTATGGGCATGTCTAAAAATCCTCCAAATGGTGAAAACCCATGGAAGGTAAGCTGTCACAGACAGTTTGACCTCTAATTAGTCCTAGCTGATATGAAGCTTTACAGGGAAATCTGAATGATAGGTTCCTTTTTACTCCCCACAAATAAAATGCAAGAATTCTTAACATTAATAAGAATTCTGATTTTAAATCAGGTGTGAAATGGAAATCAGTTATATAGCACATAGTTCAGTTCTTTCCTTGGTTTATATTCAGAGCGTTTTCAGGATCTGTGTCCCCATGCTTTCAATACAGATGGACACTGAGCAGATGGTGTGACTGTACAGGGCAAGAAATTTCATTTTGAGGAAGGGGATGTGACTAGATTTGCTTTACGTGAATCCCAAGTACATTTTAAATGCAATTCTATTCCAGTACAATATGGTTTTTCCTACAAGTACTTTTTATACAAGTACTATAGATGAAGAAATGTGGGAAGGGAGTTTCCATTGGCTATCTCAGCATCTTTAGCCAGTTTGATGTTATGGGTTCCAACAAGGTTAATATGTGCCAGCTTCTGGCTCTTTTCTGAACGGACTTCCCCAGTAAAGTGCATGACTAAATTGTGTGATGGTGATCTTCCCTTGTATCAGTGTCCATGCTTATGTTCAGCACAAATGATCCATAAAAATACTATATGCCAACCATAGTAACCAGGATAGGCTGGTGTATGCATTCTTGAAAAAAAATTGTGTAATACTTTGGTATCTTACGAAGTCATTCTAAGCCAATGTGTGGACATGGCAGTGTCATACACAAGCCATTGTGTGGGGAAAAAAAAATATCAAAATTTCTGAACCCTGTCAAAGCTGACATTTCCTAACTTATTTTATGGAAAGCAAACTTGAAATTATGTCTGATTTTTACTTCCTGCAGTCTCTACTAGTAGTCTCGGTTTCACAGGGTTACCTAGGAAACTAAGACTGGTATAGATTCCTTGATTATAAGGAAGGAGTAAATTTGGAAAGTGCAGATGCTTTCCCTTCGTAGCTGCTGAACTTGTCTTTTCTCACTTGTATTTTTTTTAAATGGAAGCATTTCTCCATCTGCTGGCTCTAAGTTAGACATTGCAGCCTTCCAAGCAGAGAACTACATATAGATAATGTGTATTACACAATGGATTACTTGTATAATAAAAGTCTGTTTGGGATTGACAACATTTCTATCCTGATACTCCAAAATTGCATTTGTAGTATGTCGTTTCCGAGTAGGATAGCCTATTTTTAATTCATTCAGTCTAGGAAATTGGATGTATTCCAACAGATAACATTTCTTCACATATCTCTATTACAAGTGAGCCAACATTGTGAATGCAGCCTGTGCTCTTCAGTTGCAAGCAAATTATTTAAGATCAACTCCTAGGCATTTCCAGTGGCTCAGATGCCTGCTTGTATGGATAGTCAATTGTACAACATGCAGAAATATTTATATACGGTAGGGTAACAGCTGTCCTTTTATATGCAGGATCATAGCAAGTGACGCTTTCAGGTAGGTTCTGAGATGTTCAAAGCCTGCAGTGGTAAACTAGAGATGTGCAAATTAATTGTGGTTTTAACAGCTGCAAGCAGTAAATGAGGGAATGAAGGTGACTCCTATACAGCCTTTCTGTGTCTCTGTGCTAGACTTTTTTTTTTTTTTTCATTTTCCATCTCAAGAGTATGAGATTGAACACACATTGTCTTGGAGGATTTGGTGGGTATTCACTACAACACTTGACACTCTTTAGCCTTACCAGGCAGTCTTGTATGACTTGTGACGACACTACTTGGTCCAGGAATAGTAGCATATGGAAAAATATAAATAAAACCTCATGAGTGGATGAGACTTCCTATGGAAGTAGATGCAGCTGTGTAAATTTTGCTTTGTAACACACTGACCTTGTGGTTTCTTCTGCCTGTCCTTCTGCTGAACACCTGTTTGCATCATGTGAAAAAAATACTTCTGTGGGGTGCCACCACCCTGTGAAAGTGCCATACACTGTATAGTAGGACAACACTACAGAATCCATGCTTGTAAACTTTGCACTGTACCAGTAATGAAAATAATTTTCCTCTTAGTACTTGATTTCTTGATTGACTTAAAATATCTTAAGACTCCTGCCATTGAAAATGTTACCTTTATTGTATATTTTGGGACTGATGCTTGTGTGACAGCCAAAATCATACTTGACCTAAACCTGACTGATTTTGTGGATTTCAGTTTGTTTCCACTTTGACCTTGTTGACTGCATAGCTGCTTGAGCTGAAGAGCTGGAGGAGGATGGAAGACACAGAGTATTCAGGGAGGAAGATAGAACCATCTCCTCCAGCAGCTCAGGTTTAGACTGGCTTTTGAAAATGCATCCTTCTTTACACAGAAATTTGGGTTTCCTAGAGAACATCTAAATGAAGGCGTAATTCTTTGAAATCAGCTGTCTGCTATTTATGTAGAAAAAAAATGCCTTTTTAATAGGGTGCTACTCTTTGTACGAGCTGATTTGCCTTGCTAATTGCCCCCTTCAGGAGAAACATAGTGGACAGAAGGCCTTCCAAATAAGTATGTAAGACAATGATGCAAGCCTGAAATTTTAAGGTGAATGCCAGTATTAATTTTCTGAAGAGATATACAACTATCTCATTCTCAAATCTGAAGTAAAGAACCATTATGCCTGACAGTAATTGATCCCAGATGGTCTTATTAACTAGGATAGTCTGTGGATTTTACTAAGAATACAGGACTCCTTTTCTTCAAGAAACAGAAGAAAAAAGTAGTGAAAGTCATCTTTTGTTATCTGTCTTAGCTCTTTGTAGTTTTAAAGTTGCCTCTGTGCTCTAATTTAATTAGTTTCTGCAAGCCTGAGGTCAAATGAGGTGCAGAGCTGGCACATGAAATGAAACACCGGAGGTCAATTAACATCATTAAGTCACTACCAAACTCATCTGGA